CTCCAGATTTGCCTCCCTGCGACTTTTTCCTGTTACCAAGTGTTATTCTTATTTATTGTTCTGTGCAATCGAAATTGGCCTTTTAATTATTTGTATGGGCAATACTGGTTTAGTTAGTTTCTCTGACATATGTCATAAGTTAGTAGTTGTAGAGTTGTAGATGTATCGCTCATGTTTTAATTTCATCCATGTTTTGTCTTGCTTATTTAACAAGAAATATATTAATATTGTGCAATTGGTGTTGATTTTTATTGACCTCTCAGCGGACGCTGCGTTGTGTAAACCAACTCTGCTCAACACTATATTATATGTATTTACACATTAAAAAACTTACTCGGCAAACATTCAGTGTTTGGATTTCAATGCCAGAAATTCCTCTCTCTAGAGAATAGAAGCTATTTTCCAGAAGGTATTTTTTTGCTGCATTTTTAAAGCTGTTATAGCTATTGATTGGATAGTTGTTATAAATAAATATACAATTATAAAATGTAAATTTTTTGAATGTTGCAGTTTTATGTTTTGGTATTTCCAATAGAGAACTTCTTGATGGGTAGTTATGATGACTTCCTAACAAGTTGAAGTCAGAAGTTTCACATTTTAAAATGAACATAGAATGGAAGGGCAGACTAGAGTGTTGTTTGAAGACAGTCCTACATGACTCTCTGTATTCCAAATTAAATAATAAACTAATTATTTTTTTTTGAGAAGTGAAAACTCTTTTACATTCAGTAGCCAGTCCCCATGTTACATTATCTGATATATGGTGATATGCAAACGCATAGTCTGAATTCAACAATCCCTTTTGGTCCAAAATTGATGCTGTTACTAAATATTAGATTTTCATAGGTTTTTGAACCTGCCTTTCTCAGATGGAAATTTATGCAGGTTGTCTTATTAACTATATGAGTCGATTTTTTGGCACCATTATATCATTGGAAGCTTTTTCTATATTACTGGGCGATTCTTCAAGGATTTCTCCACAAATTGTAACTGTTATGTCATCAGCAAACATTGTTACTTGTCCCGCGGTAATTTGATTAGGAATATCATTTACAAAAAGGAGAAAATTAAGGGTCCCAAGACAGATCTTTGGGGAACACCAAGAGAAGTAGTGTATCCATTCGATAGTTGTTGTTTTACTTTGATGAGAATACTTCTGTGGGAAAGATAAGACTCAAACCATTTTAACAAGATACCTCTTATACCCAGATACCTAAGTAATCCTTATATAAATCTTATGTTTAGGCAGTCAAAAGCTTTTGAGAAATCGAACATAAGAGACACAACATATTTTCCTTTATCTTAGGAAGTGTGAACATAATTCAATAAATGGTATGTGGCTGATTCCGTTGACTTATTTTTCCAAAAACCATATTGAGGAAGCGTGACAGGTCATAACGTTCTACAAAACTGACTACTACATTGTACACACAGCGTTCAAGCACCTTTGAAAATTCTGTCAGAAGAGATATTTAGCGGTAGTTATATATTGTATACCAGTGAGGATGACAGTGTTCCATGTAAGTGCAATTTATTACCATTCATTTAAAGTAGAACTCATGTGAATGATATCTGATTTTTATTCCACAACGAATGTTTGAAATACATACTTAGTAGAGAAAAGTATCTTCTGTATAATTCAGTGTTCATATAGAAGTATTTGTTTCAAAAGAATTATTTTTCTTTCGTATAATTCAATTTATATATAAAAGTAGTTGTTTCAGGAGGACTTTCTTTCAGTTTGTGTCTGAAAGTTACTTCTTTGCATGATCTACACATCCATGTATAGAGTTACTTATTTTCAAATTGATTACTTCCTTCCTTTCTTTGGAAGATTCCCTCATCCTTCTTTTGTATCAAGATGGAGCAGTAGAAAGCCAAAAACTTTCATTCCCAAAAATTCACATTTTATTTACAAAACTTGGTTGAAATAATCAATTGCTACTATGTTGAATGAAATTTTCAAGTAGGTACTGAACATGATACAACACAAAAAGACAGGAAAGGATAACAAAAACAGTTTGTGTTTACATAGCACAAAACAACATTTTACGAAAATAGCCAATGAGAATGTATATTGAAAATTTTCAATATTGATTACTTAAAATGTATTTAAAGTTGAACATAAGTCGAATAAAAAAGTATCTTGATAGTACTCTGATATATTATAATAGGCTCTCTCACAAAAAAAATCCCTCAAAACTTCCCCAAACTGATATTACAGTGAGGATTTTCTTTTCCTCAAACAGTTGTATTCACGAATCTCGTGGCTTTGCTTTACACAGAAAACGTACACCTCTTTTCTCTATACCTAAAATTGATTGCAATGTTGTGACAGTACAAGCACCCCAGAAAGGGATTCGATATCATAGATGAGATTCTATGAGAGAGTGATATGTATCTTTGGCAGCAGCAAATCCTAACTCACAAGATGTCAGCCTCACAGCTACAGAGGACAACTTTGATTTGAGAACCCTGTAATGGTCTTCAAATTTCAAATCACTGTCAATAATTAGTCCCAAAAATTTAGTTGATGATTTATTCACAACAAAGATGTTGTCAACTTGTAAATTGCTAATGAAACATTTGAAGCAAATTACGTTCGTTTGAGATACATTAAAACTGAGGAGATTTGCGTCACGCCATCTTTTTCTTTTGCTCATATCACAATTTATTATTGTTTCAAGTTCAAAGGGGTTTTGATCACGCCATAAAATTGTAGGGTCATCAGCGAATAATGTGAACTCACCGTTGATATCAATAGATGTCAGAACATTTATATACATAAGGAATAATAGTGGTCCGAGGACTGAGCCTTGAGGAACTCCAAATTTTGCTTTTCCTTCCATAGAATAACTGGTCGTTTTAACAATATGACTACGCTCAGATAAATAGGATTCAAACCAATTGAAACTTACACCGCTTGTTCCATACTGTTGTAGTTTCTGAAGCAGTGTACCATGACTAACACAGTCAAACGCATCACTAAGGTTTTGGTTTATGACGCCACAAATATAATATGAAGGGGTATATTTGTGATTACATAGTCAATGGTACTGGTGGAGCTTCTTCCACTTATATTTGTGAAAACATGTGTTGGTTTATTTGTTGTTATCTTCAATTGAAAAGATTCTAACATATCATTTATTATTTTCAACTCTTGGATCTCTTTTTTATCAAGATGAATATTAAAATCCCCAATTAAATTTCTTTAGTCAAATTTTCTATTTACAAAATTCAGTAAAGAAAACAGGCGTTCTTCAGAAACTCTCCACTTCCTGGTCTATAAATATTTATTATTGCATGGAGACTCCATGGAGACAGAGTGTTCTAGAAAAGTGAGATATCAGGTTGTAATTCATTAATGACATGCACTCAATATCGTCACATTGACACCAATGCATAATTTTAGTATTATAACTATTTAAAATGACTTTAAAATGATTCGGTTAATTTGTAACTCAAACAATGAATGTTCACGTGGAAAATATTTACATTCAAATCAAATTTAGATTGTATGGTGGTTTTATATCTATCCAGTTGACATGCCTTAATGATTTTTTTATCGAAACCTACTTTTATGCTGCTTGATGGAGTTCCAGTTTGTATCTGAAAAACTTCTGGGCATCACATACTCAATTGCTTCCTTCTTTTCTTCTGAAGTTTCCCACATTTCTTGTACAAGGATGGAAATAATTTTTTACTAGTTCATTTATAAGAGAATCAAATACCAAACCTTGAAGTACTCCACACTTGATCGTTTCAAATTATGATGTAATATTGAAATTAAAAAAAAATGGCAATCAGACGACTTCATCCAGAGATTGTTCATTAAACTATTGAGTAGTCGTTTATTATTTCCCTTAATGATCATAACTTTTGTAACATTTGGGACTTTGTTACAACTCTGTAATGTACTTGACATAGTTACGTTTTGTTTTACAGCAGTTTACGAACAATTAGTTGCATACTTGGATGATAATGAATTATTCTTAGGTAAACAGTCAGGATTCAGAAAAAATCATTCCTGTGAATCACCTATTCAGTATACTTTCTCTAGATGGAAAAATGCGTATGATGAAAATAAATACACTGTAGCTGTCTTTCTTGACTTCAAGCGCACATTTGAAACAATTGACAGATATTTTTGGCACTGTGGAAATTTAAATTGTTAATTAGTTGTTATGTCTTGTAAGATTAGGATGTATCCTATAATAAAGATTACTACTACTACTACTATAATTTGATTGATCATTAGTGTTGAATGTCTTTATGCTTATTCTTGTCTTTTTACTATTTTTTTATTAATAGTTTGTGGTGTACTGGATTAATAAAAAATAAATAGGTTTATAAATAGGTTTATTTATTTTTAAGCAATTACAATAGTTTATCTTAAGGATTTTACTTGTTGGGTTCATAACTGAACTCTAATGCTTGACTGGTTTCAACAATTGAAACTTTCTTGATGAACCATTTGAGAAATTATAATAATTCTGTAGTGAACTTGATCGATAAATAAAAAAAATAAATAGATCTATTCAGACATAATGCTGTCTGTTTAACAGTTAGGATTTTAAGCCAGATAGGATAAGTCCCTTTTTCCATATTCTTCTAGTTAGCTAATCGAAGTATAATAACGCAATACAGTTCAAACTGTGTGGTGTATTATATTTCAGTTCAATGATGCACTTGGAAATTTCCTTTGCCAATTTACTAATCAGATTCTACACATCGAACAAATTGGAATTTTTCATAATAGTGATGGCATTAGAGACCTCAATGTGTGTGCTAAGTTTTGAGTATCAACATTACTATTACTGCATCATTACAAATTAAATTTTTCGAAAGTAAACTTATCATAAATTTTCTTGATTTTCTCAATTGAAAATTGAAAAGTTTCCAGCTATCAGCAATTTTATTATGATTGTTCAAAATAAAATAATCATACGCTTTACAATCAGTATCTCTATTTGAAGTTAGCCAGAATTAACTACAAAGAACTAAGCCCCCTGGACCACAAAAGAACCGTCTAGTAGTTCGTACTGCCCGGCGAATCTTAGGAAAGTTAACCACAAAACTTCAATTGAATAAATATTATGTTTCTTTTACTCTAGTATCCGGCCTCTACAAGTTTTATAGCTAATGAATAATATCTGCTACACAAACAAAAAAAATGGATCAGAAAATTAAGTTACCTTGAGAATTGAATGATCCCATATTGCAGTCCAAATACCTTTTGGAGAAATGAACCAGAACTCTTTCCCTTTCTTGCGTCTCTCCAGTGAGTGAAAACTGTTTAAGGAATTTTCTTAGAGCTATATCCAGAGTATCTTTTTCGAAATTGAAATATTTCAGGTACTCCTCTGCAACAGCTCGGCTAAAATCATTACTGAAAAAAGCAACATTTAAAATCAAGTATTGTTACTGACATTTATGTTTTTTTTTTCAACAAACAAAAACCACATCAATAATAAAGTTAGCTGAAATTTAGAAGTATCTGAAATTTCTGAATATTGTAAGTGTGAAATCAACTGGGAGTTTCAATTTATGGCACCATTATTGTATTTTCAACATATGAACCTTTTTACTACCATGTGAACACTTTTAGTGTCATTTAACGAAAGTAAAGGTCAAATGACATTAGAGATGTATTCAGCTTTCTACTACTCCATCTTGAAGAAAAAAAAAAAAGGATGAGGGAGTCTTCCAAAGAAAGGAAGGAAGTAACTCTATACATGGATGTGTAGATCATGCAAAGAAGTAACTTTCAGACACAAACTGAAAGAAAGTCCTCCTGAAACAGCTACTTTCATATAAACATTGAATTATACGAAAGAAAAAATGTTTGAAATACAAACTGAGTAGAGAAAACTATCTTCTGTATAATTCAGTGTTCATATAGAAGTATTTGTTTGGAAAGAATTGTTTCTTTCGTATAATTCAATGTTTATATGAAAGTAGCTGTTTCAGGAGGACTTTCTTTCAGTTTGTCTGAAAGTTACTTCTTTGCATGATCTACACATCCATGTATAGAGTTACTTCCTTCCTTTCTTTATAAGACTCCCTCATCTTTTTTTTTTGGAGTAGTAGGAGTAGTAGAAAGCCAAAAACGTTAAAACGTTCTTTCCCAAAAATTAATCACTCCTAAAAAATATAACCCCTTCAATTCAGATGTATTCAGTTGAGCACGTGGTCGTGATTATTATACTGTAAGCCCCCGCTAAATTTTTGAGGGGTTATCTGTAAGGACATTTTCAAACTTATAAAGTGTCCGCCATCTAACGTTTTTTTTTCAACTAGTGCTTATTTCGTGAATGGTAACACTTAGCTCATGTTTGATTTGACAGATAATTAGTTTCATCCTTCCGCTGAACGAATATGGTTGTGTATATGCTTGAACAACACTGGGAAATATTGCGACATTACTTGGAAAATCATAGTAATGTTGCAGAATGTGTGCAAAAATTGCGTACGGATTTTGGAAGAAAAGAAGCACCGTCAGCTCCGTATGTTCGTTATCTTGTGAAAAAAGTGAAAGAAACTGGCATCCTCATCGATAAACCAAAGCGTGAAAAGCCAAAAACAGTGCGTACACCCGAGAATATTGCTGCTGTGGCAGAAAGTGTGCGTGAAGCGCCATCAACATCAATTCACCGTCGTTCTCAACAATTGAACATTTCGGAGACATCATTGAGACGAATTTTGCAGAAAGACCTTGGTATGACGCCATACAAAGTCCAATTGGTTCAGGAGTTGAAGCCAACTGACCATCTAATGCGTTTTCGCTTCGCTAAGTGGGCCTGCGATCGACTTACAGAAGATGCCGATTTTGCAAAAAAAAAATCATCTTTTTAGATAAAGCTCATTTTGATCTTGGCGGGTTTGTAAACAAGCAAAATTGTCGCATCTGGGGCACGCATACATTGAAAAGCCGACGCACCCAAAACGAGTCACTGTTTGGTGAGGATTTTGGTCCAGAGGCATAATTGGGCAATTTTTCTTCGAAAATGAGCAAGGAGTGGCCGTTACAGTCAATGGCGATCGTTATCGGGCCATGTTGAACGAATTTTTGTTCACAAAAATTGAAGAGGAGGATATTGGCAACATTTGGTTTCAACAGGACGGCGCTACGTGCCACACAGCAGAAGCTACACTCGATGTTTTGCGCCCTGTTTTTGAAGATCGCATTATCAGCCGCAGAGCTGATGTCGTTTGACCATCTCGGAGCTGCGATTTGACACCGTTGGACTATTATTTGTGGGGTGCCGTCCAAGATAAGTGTTACGCCGACAAGCCAGAGACAATTGACGCTTTAAAGGACAATATTCGTGAAGCCATTGGTGAAATACAGCTGCACACAATCGATAATGTGCTTAAAAATTGGACCGATCGAGTAGACTACTGCATGGCCAGCCGAGGCAGCCATTTGAATGAAATTATTTTCCATTATTAACCGGAAGGATTCTACTTTCAAATAAAAAAAGAAATTTGAGTAAATATTCAGTAGTTTTTTTATTATAGCATTAAAAAAAAGTTATTTGGCGGACCCTATACATTAAAGTTTATTAATGCATTAAGTTTGAAAATGTCCTTTAGTCCTTATGCCCTTAAAGTTTAATGTATAAGTTTGAAACTGTGCTTATAGGACGAAACTGTAGTAACGTTAGTAACAAATAAAAGTGGTAAAAAAAATTAGAAAGTTTCAATTCTCTTTTCTTCATTGAAATACAAATGTTTATGTTTGGATCACTGCTTACTGAGCAATTCAGTTTTAAGTTTACTTTTGAATAGCGGTAGTGATGAATTTTTCAATTTTACAGCATGATAAGTGAAGGATCGTTCATAGATGGTGCTGTTATGATTCGGAATGTCAAAATTATTATTAAATCTAAGGTTTCTTGAATGTATCTGATGTCTGGGAAGGAGTTTCTTTACCAAATAAGTGGGTTGTCCCACTTGATATCTGTAATTCAACCTGAACATTAGTCTGATGCAGGCGTTCTGTACTTTCTGAATTCTTGCAGAAGTTATGGAATCGATACAAGGATCCGTGGATGACAGTAGTACATCTGAAAGGGTAATTTTGAGAGACCTACTCAGATAGTGTTTGTTTAAATACAGATGTTTCAAAGTACCTTACGACTTTTGAATAAGAGTATTGACTTGATGAACAAATCTGAGGTTGTAGTCTATATGAAGTCCTAAGCATTTAATTTTGTCAGTCAATTCCACAGAATGTCCATCAATATACGAATAGATTTTATCTATGGCCCTTCCACGACCTTTGGCTTTTCCAAAAATTATTGAAGATGATTTACAAGGATAAAGGTTTAGACAGTGTTGCTGCGGAATCTGAACAGGATTCTTTGCATCATTATTGAGCAATGTTTCGTGATCAATAAGATGATTTCATTTATCGGAGTAGTACAAGTTAGTATATGTATGAATGTTGAATAATTCAAGAACATTGGAGAAGTCAGATATGTAGATAATAAAGAGTAGTGGAGCAAAAATTGAACTTTAACTAATTTTGTGCTTCTTGCTCAATGTCATAGATGATAAGAAAATGAAATACCTCTACTACATCATAGACCTACAAGACCAGACACATTACCAACACATTACTGCTATTTTATAAAATCAGGTGAAAATATGTACCAAAAATAATGCCTGCTATTAGATGGTTGTTAAGAATGAATGAGTACTTGACTTCCTCTGCCACATTCAAAAGTTTTTCACCAAACTCAACAACGCGAAAACCCAATACTATAACAGCGTGACTCACGGTCGATGGTAGGTTAGACGTTTCTGGAAAACGCAAAGCATGATTTTTCTGAAAATTTCACCTCTCACATTTCCTTACCTGTTCTATCGATCTAAAATATTTTCAGCATTGCGGCGTTGCCACTTCCATCAAAAAGTCCTAGCAACTTTATTTTTTAAATGGAACACCCCGTATATTAATACATTTTTGGAATCGCTCTAGTATTTTAATACTTTTTTGTTAATAATGTCCTATACCTATCTCTATCTGTTTTCGAGATAAAAAATAAATTGTGCTAAATATGGTCCAAAACATAGCCTTAATTGAAATTAAGTACATCAGTACTCTCAATTCATGAAAAGTTGATATTTTGATGATAGTTTGGAAAAACTCGAAATATTCAAATAACACCAAGAAATCGACTCCATATCATACAGGGCGTGCTAAAATTACTATTATTTTCATTGTGCATAAAAGTAGTCAAAAGTTCATTTTATCAAATGAAACCCCCTGTATATTACTCGGTGAATTGAAAGATGGTGAAAAATGCCTCAAGATGATATACATGCCCCCCTATACCTAAATCGTCAAGTTTTCTCAATAAAGTCGCTTCTTCTAGAAACATTATTTTTTTTTTACAATTTGGATTTAGGTAGCAGTGGAATTATCAAGCTTATAGCAGTTCGGTTACTTTTATAAGTAATTTACAAAGGGTTATCGACGGTGTTTCCAATCATCTACCAAAATGAATGCAAATATCGATTATTCAAACGAAGTTCTTATGAAATTATTTATTATACACATGAACAAAGTGATCAAATCATTGTCAGAACGTGTAAAAAATTCAACCAAATGTATCCTGAATTAACACCAAAGAACGAGAGGAAGTTTGTGTGGTTACAAAATAATTTCCTTAACTATGGCTCAAAGTTTCCAGGGAACAACTGTACCAAAAATCAGTCATGTCTAGGTATAAAAAGTAAGATTTTGTGTGCTAAAACATGTGAAAGTACAGACAATAACAGAATAGGATTATTCAAAATAACAAAATTGTAAACAAAATATCACATTTTCACAATAAATGCTGAATATGTTGTCCATTACATTCAAAACACTTTAAAATGTTTTTTGTACGCGACTTGTGGTTGCTTTTTCAATTTCCTGGGGACCCAGATCTTCAATACTCCACACTATTCGCCGTCACAATTCTTCTTTGGTAGGCACTGGAATACTGTATACCCTTTCTTTTAAAACACCCCATAAAAAAAGTCAAGTGGCGTGAGATCGGGTGATCTCGGTAGCCAATCCCACGGCCCTAAACGCCTAAACCAACGATCGTCGAAGAGTTCGTCAAGTTTCCTGGAAACTTCCTGGGTGGAATGAGCTGGCGCTCCGTCCAGTTGAAACCACGAATTCCTATATTCCTCTAAAGGGAAATTTTCAAGAAAATCGGTTACAGTCGTCCTTAATATTTGGAGATATCTCTCTGCGTCTTCATAAATAAAAAAGATAATTTTATTGTTCTTCAGAATACAGAAAACATTCATGTCAAATTTTTCTTGAAAACCCATTTCTTTTGTAACGTAAGGATTGTGATCAGCCCAAAAATGTTTATTCCTTCTATTGAAAATATCATCCCTCGTGAATTTTGATTCGTTGCTCCAAATTATTTTTGACAAAAATTCCCGATCTTCCTGTGTATGAATCAAAAGGGATTCACAAAAATGCATTCTACGTTCGAAGTCTTTTGCTTTTAGAGCTTTAACTTTGGTAAATTTATACGGATGCATTCCGTGATTTTTCAAAATTCGTTGAACTGAAGCATGTGATACACCTAAATCTTTTTCTGCACTGCGAATAGAAGCTTCTGGATATGCATAAAAATATGCCAAAACGTTAACATATTGTTAACAATATTGTCCTCATTTGAATAACAGGTTTTGGTAATGTTGAAGGCGCTTTTAACATGGAGCCATAGTTAAGGAAATTATTTTGTAATCTTGCAAACTTCCTCTCGTTCATTGGTATTATTTCAGGATACATTTGGTTGAATTTTCTACAAGTTCTGGCAATGATTTGATCACACTGTCCGTGTATAATAAATAATTTCATGAGAACTTCGTTTGAATAATCAATATTTGCATTCATTTTTGGCGATTTTTTGAAACACCGTCAATAACCATTTATTAATTACTTATAAAAGTCACCAAACTGTCATAAGCTTGATATTTCCACGGCTACCTAGAAATCAAATTCTTTAAAAATTATTTTTTGTACAAAAAATCATTTAGAAAAGTGCAGTTCATGCTATTGGTAATATTAAATCCCTGTGGAGTTACTGACGATGACGAAGTAGTATTCAGTCCAACTGTAGAAAGTCCTTCATGACTAACCAATAATCCTCCTTAAAATAACGTGAGTTGGCGTATGTAGTTGTAACGTATGCCTTGTCATCCAAAGATCGTGTGTTCAAATCCCATGGACCCTATAATTTTTTTTATTATCAGCAGTAACGTTATACAAAAAAATGTGTATGATACATTTGTTAAAAGTGATTTTATTTTGCTCGTGAGTTTGCTCCACTTGCTGACGCTCGTTTTGCAATAATCCCCACTCACAAAATAAAATGCCACTTTCAACACTTGTAGGTAAAACGTGAATAAGTATTTTTCCACAAAAACGGCTTTATTAGGAAAACTTGACGATTTAGGTATAGGGACATGATATATCATCTTGAAGCATTTTTCACCATCTTTCAATTTACCGAGTAATATACAGGGAGTTTCATTTGAAAAAATTAACTTTCGACTACTTTTATCCACAATGGAAATAATAGTAATTTTAGCACGCCCTGTATGATATGGAGTCGATTTCTTGGTGTCATTTGAATATTTCGAGTTTTTCCAAACTATCATCAAAATATCAACTTTTCATGAATTGAGAGTACTGATGTACTTAATTTCAATTAAGGCTATGTTTTGGACCATATTTAGCACAATTTATTTTTTATCTCGAAAACAGATAGAGATAGGTATAGGACATTATTAACAAAAAAGTATTAAAATACTAGAGCGATTGTAAAAATATATCAATGTACGGGGTGTTCCATTAAAAAAAATATAATGGCTAGGACTTTTTGATAGAAGTGGCAACGCTGCAATGCTGAAAATATTTTAGATCGATAGAAGAGGTAAGGAAATGTGAGAGGTGACATTTTCAGAAAAATCATGTTTTGCGTTTTCCAGAAACATCTAACCTACCATCGACCGTGAGTCACGCTGTATATTGCACCAAAAAAATTCGATAACAACGAAATGCAATTCCAACAACGACATATGATAAGTGTTGCAGGCCTAGATGATTTTTCATGCCGTTAGGTGGGTTTACTATCTTTCGATTCCAACTTTTGTCTGGTTTTAGCACCCTGAACACTACTAAGGGCATCAACAAGTAGTTCGTTGTCAAATCTTATGAAATATAGGGCAAAAGGCATGAGTTGTATAATACTGTTAATGATGGATATTACTGGAGTTTTTTCCCAACACCAAACCGTTATTTTAACACCTTGACACGTGTTTCGATCACCAAGTTATCATCTTCAAGAGGAAGATTTATCCTCCTCTTGAAAAGGTGTTAAAATAACGGTTTGGTGTTGGGAAAAAACTCCAGGATTATTCCTTACTACACCAAAGGTTGCAAACAGTAAATTGCAAGTACTGTTAATGATGTATATTACTGTTAATGATAATGATCTAAAAATAAATCCTTTGAGTTTCTTTGAATTTTGAAAATACACAAAAAATTGATACGTTCATCAACATTATATTTCAACTGTAAATATTTGAAATGAATTTTAACTTTTTCTATAATCCATTATTTAGGAACACTCTCTCAAACTACCCCTTGAAAAAACCATCTTGTTAAGAAACAATATTAATTAGGGTACTCAAGCCAATTCGATGTATTCAGGTAAATGTTCAAGTCATACTTACTTTTTACTGAGATGCCTGGAAACATCAGACTTCTTGAATCCTTCAAGACCATATAATCTCTTGGCTAACCTGATAGCTGATGGCATGTCAACGGCTTTGGGTGAATAGTGAAAGCTGTGTAGGCTTTCAACATCGCTCTCGTCCTCCGAAGATAAAGGTGATGATCTATTAGCACCCTCATGGAAAGCATCTTCTTCGTATTCAATTTCCGGAGGACCGTCACATGAAATCTAAAGAGAAACATCAATCACTTAGATGATCAAAACATAATAGACATTAGCTATCTCCTAACGAATCAAACACCATAACAAAGTTATCTATCAATCGGTTCATAAATAAATTGTTGTTGGAAAAAAGAAGTAGGTATCATCACCTTGAGTTGTTTTTACAGTGAACCATTCCTTTTTATATGTAGGTGCCACTTTAGCTATTTTTGGTTCCATAATGTTATTTATTGGCTTTACCAGGTGATCACTGATTTCATCAATAATATAGATAGATAGATAAATTTTATTTAACTACTTTACAATATGTTTGTAGCACGTCAAAAAAGAAAGTCCAATAAAATTTTTTTTACATCAAATTTGACAGCAAATAAAGTAAAAACAGGAATTTAAGAGTTGAGTTACAATATGTTATTAAACTACCACAGCAGAGATGCGGCAATGCGGTTGGCTCGGTAATGCGGTTGGCTCGGTAATGCGGTTGGCTCGGCAATGTGCAATGTAATCCTCAACAATATTTCAGGAGATACTTTTTCAAGTATTTTATAAAGCCACTAATACTCAATTTTTTAACATTTGATGGCAATGTGTTGAAAAGCTCATAGTTCAATGAGTTCGACTGTAACATATTTAGTTGAAAACGGTTGCTTCGGATAAGGTGAGCATTGCGAGTGTTGTAGCTGTGTACATCCGAATTTCTCGGCAACACCGACTGACTTCTATGAGGGCCCAAAACCGAACCTTGGGGTACTCCATGACTAACAATCTGAAAGTCTGATGTTTTACCGTTCACTGAAACACACTGTTTTCTATTGGAAAGATAAGAATTCCTCTAACACCATAATAGTTTAGTTTTTCCAAGAGAATGTCATGTGACACACAGTCAAAAGCTTTCAAAAGATTACACAGCATTATAGCTGTATGATTGCCTTGCTCAAATTCCCCAAAATATGTTGGTGTAAAATGTTTCAATAAGATGAAAAATCTAATAGATATGAGCGGTAACAAGTCAGCAGTTAGGACTAGAATATCGATATATCTCAGCGATAAAGCTTTCTATAGCTTAGAAGAGTTTCTGGGCTCCTGATTATATTTAAAATTATAATTGTACAAACCTCAACTGAATTTGTTGTGTAATTGTTATAATTTTTTATATATTTATATCACTAAATAGTGTCCCGTTGCTGCAGTTGTACCATATTCCCAATTTATTTGAATGAATTGGGAATGAATAAATAAAAGTTAGGCTATGATATTCACAAGTAAATACAGATATGATACCATTAATATTAATAGCCTTAACCTGAACATCAATAATGAACAAATTGAAATTGTATCAAATATCAAGTATTTGGGCTTCCAGTTGGATAACTTTCTGAACTTCAATACCCATTTCAATTATATTCATAAAAAAATTTCAAAAAAACTTTATTTTTTCTCTCGTATAGCCCAGGAATTATCAACCGAAACAAAAATCACGGTATATAATTCAATTATTCAGCCGCATTTTGATTATTGCTCATCAGCCCTGTTTTTGTTTGATCTTACTAAGCTGAATATGCTACAAAAACTTCAAAATCGTGGCATGAGAATAATTCTGAGAACTAATCGTCTCACCCCCATAAGATCTATGTTAGCAACGCTTAATTGGTTCTCAGTCGAAAAAATTATGTATTATTTCACCTAGATTTTTGTATATAAAATATTGAATAACCTGGCTCCTGTTTACTTTCATACATTTATAATATTGAATAGAGACATTCACACTTATTACACTCGGGGTAAAAATGACATTCACATTTAGCAGCACTGCTTATCGCAGTACTATGAACTCTTTATTTTTCAAAGGTTTCCAAGAATTTAATTAACTACCAGACTTTATTAAAACATCATCATCGTTGAATTTGTTCAAAAAACAATTGAAAGAACTTATTAAGATGAAATAGATATCGTACTGAAAGCAATTCTTGTAATTTTTGTAATTTTTTTTTTTTGACTAGTCCGATAAGTTACATATTCTGTAGTTTTCACCACACAATGTGTATTCTTTTGTGATGAATAAAATGATTCTGATTCTGAAATGATTCTACAACGTCACCGACAACATTAAAAACTGCCTACAGAAACGTTCTTCGTGGTATCAGCCAGGGGAGTAGTTGTTTTCTGATAGACATCAATCCATTCAACCTACTGTGTAGGTATATTCAAGACTGGCTTGAATGTTTAAAGTTCATTTCTTTAAATTGTTTACTGCCAGTCTTTAAGCATAGCCCACTGACTAACAAGAAAGTTTTTCTTCCTTATTCAGAGGAATCGGGTAAATTTCGGATATGCAGTTGGTTAGTACCTCGTCCACTAGATGGAGTGACATTTTGTTGTTCACTCCAACTTAAGAAGAGGAATGAAATACTCTGAAAGAATTCCGATTTTCAATTATGGAATATCATTGACTTTAGGTTGATGAGTGGCTAATGAGCCCGAAACCGGTCTGCAAGTGTGCCCGTTCCATAACTGAAGGTCGACTTTCAGTTGTATTGCCAATTGCATATGCAGGACATTTTTTGTGAAGAATACTGCACTGACGCCTGTGGGATATATTCCCACAGGCGTCAGTGCAGTATAATACCGCTGCCTTCTTCGTCGCTAGTTAAAGATTCCATTATTTACAACGGTCTTAAAATGTTCAATCTCCTTCCTTAAGCTTCAAGAACCATAAATGACCTTAGAGCTCTTAAGAAAGAGTTGAAAGACTTGCTCTCTGGGAAACCTTATTATAGCTTAGCAGAATTCTATGATGATAATTTTAATTGAGAAGACTAACTGTAATATCTACGGTATTTTATTGATTTCATTTCATTCAATTTAGTTTAAATTGATTTATTTACATTTTGTTGACCATGTTCTTATATCCTGAACGTTTGTTATTATTTACATGTCTCTTTTCAGTTCATGTTATAACCTACTTTTAGTGAGTTTACTTTTGTGATTTCATGTATATGTTATTTATATTTCGCACAAGGCTTTGTCAATAAGAATTTATTCTTCAGACAATAAAGTATAATAAAAAAAAAAAAATCCAACGTCATTCGTGGTATTAGCCAAGGGAGTAGTTGTTTTCTGATAGGTGTCAGTCCATTCGACCTACTGTGTAGGTATATTCGAGACTGGCTTGAACGTTTAAAGTTCATTTCTTTAGATTTATTCATCTAATGTTTGTCATATATTTTAAATCATTCCAATATGTAACAAATATTGTAACAAAAATATTAGAAATGTATGTAAGTTTGATTTTCTTATTTCAAATAAAGATTATTATTATTATTTTGACTCATGCTAGACTAAGTTCGTATGTATGACATTTAATTAATGCCAATCTTTGAAAATAAGTTCAATTTTCTTCTTGAAGATGATCACCTGGTGATCGAAACACGTGTCAAGGTGTTAAAAGTAAAGGTTTTGTGTTGGAATAGAATTCCAGTAATATTCAGTACTACACTAAACAGTGCATCACAAGTTAATAAATTTATATATACCTGGTATCCATAAGTCTCACTTTTGAGAGTTGAGGAACTATCACTCTGCCGCGCCCTGTCTTTCTCAGGTCCTTTAACCTGTATCACAATACGATAATCACTATTTTCTGAATTGGCATTTGTCGTCGAACTTCCATGTACCCTCACATGTCTTTGTTTTGGTTCCGATACTAACAAAGTACTGTCACTATCACTATGATCACTAATTTCCATAACACAGTCTCTGATCCCAACACTGTCATCATCACGATAGTCCGGGCTGGAGATATTCGACACTGCTTCCGACATACTAAACTCTCCAAAAGGCTGTCCGCCGGGGCCATTCGTGAGACTGAACGGAACTCTTCTCGAACCCGATTGGCTAGACATAACGGAGGAAGACACTGACGTTGGGGAGGCGGGGGAACCAGAATGTATCGGACTGGAGGAAGTCGGAGAGATGTTGCTATGCGAAGAACTGCTACCATTCGAAAGAGTATGGATGAACTTATGATGATCTGAGATTGGGGCGTTGTATGTCCACACTATTCGATCACTATCACTAGTACAACCGGACGAATCAGGTCGCGTATCTAGAAGAGTATTGAGTGAGCTGGTCACATCTTCATCAGCTTCAGAGTTAGCTACACTGACGCTGCATAAGTCATTTTGTCCTTGAAGTTGGTCCTGAAATTGGAATAATGTTAAGTATTTTAATGGAATATCATATATACAGTTTATAATTGAAATATTCAGACTGTCAACGTTGTTCTTCTGAAGAAACTATTTCCTCTTTCGGAACATAATAATAATTTCAAAAGTCACATAGTCATTTATTTGTGTATATCAAGATACATGAAGATTTGGCACCTACTAATGTTCTTTTATGATACTATTTAAAAGACATGGAACATTGAAATATATTCTGGGACGACAGACTGTCGTGAAGTTGCAGTTTGGCACAGATTTTTTTTAAAATTATAGCTTAGTCTTTCTCAAAGTGGGCGATAACGCCCTTTTGTGGGCGCTGGGGGCCTATAGGAGGGCAGTAAAGGGCACAGAGAAGATTGGGGGTCGTCGAAGCAGTTTAGGGGGGCGATGGCTAAGTTAAAAACGTTTTTTTGCTTTTAACACAAGCTTTACCGATCCTTTACGCTTAACGCGCGTTTCCTCGTGTAACGCCATCTAGGGGACTAGACAGTAACTATTTCCTGTCCGATAGTTGTCAAACTGTACAACAGATGGCGGTAAGCTTCAATGCGAAGTGAGAAGTTCCTATTCTCCATTCTCAAAAGTACTAGGCCCGCACGCGCCATCCAGCCAGTAATGTCATTCGACGATATTACGAAAACAAGTGAATTCAGTTAGCGACTAGCTTGGTAAAGTGCTGTACGTACGGTGGTGAATACTGTGAGTGGTGTCATTAGCAAGTTTTTAATACTCGATTCTTTACTTGGTATTTTTAAAGACAAAATCATGTCGGAAGCAAGAAAGAAGTAAAGGCAGTATAGCGCGGAATATATAAAATATGGATTTATTGAAAATTTCACAAATTCATCTTTACCTATGTGCCTTCTTTGCCAAAAAACATTATTGAATTAAACGATGAAACCCTCAAAGCTACAAGATCATTTGAAAAAAATGCATACAGATAAAAAAGACAAAAGTGTGACTTATTTTCAAGAACTGGAAAAAAAAAACACTCAACTCAGCCAACCGTGTCAAAACTTTTTTCAGCGGCTTCTAAGCAAGACGACGACGGACTCCGATCTTCCTACAATATCTCCTTGCTAATTGCTCAAACAGGTAAACCTCACACTATTGGAGAGGATTCAATTTTACCGGCAATAAATGAAGTAATAACTACTGTGCTCCATAAATCAGCGACAGATATTATCCGAGAAATTCCTTTGAGCAATAGTTCCGTGCAAAGACGAATTGATGAGATGGCTGAAAACATTGAGTAGTCATTGTGCAATCATATGAAGACTTCTAATTCTCAATTCAGTTAGATGAGTCAACTTTTCCAACTAATGGAGCATTGTTGTTGTCATACGTGAGGTTAATTGAAAATGAGAAAATATATCAAGAACTACTATTTGCCAGAAATTTAGAGACAGATACAAAAGGAGAAACCATATATAATACACTGGAAAAATTTTGTGATGAGAAAGAAATTCCACTGAAGAATATTATATCAGCTGCTACGGATGGCGCTCCGGCTATGACAGGACGTCACAAAGGCTTCATAGCGTACTTAAAAGATAAAATTCCAGATGTGCTCGCTGTACATCGCGTCAATCATAGACATTTGGTTGCAAAAAATTTGAGTGAGCGCCTCTCTCAATCACTGCAATATATCATCAAAGCAGTCAATAAAATCCGAAACAGTTCTTTAAATGACAGACTATAGATTATTTAATCAGCTTTGTATTGCTAATGATGAAGATTTCAACCGATTGCCATTTTACACAGAAGTGCGTTGGTTATCAAGAGGTAACTGTCTAACTCCATTTTACAATCTATTTGACTCTATAATAGTTCTTGGAAAACAAAGACAAAGAATTGCACGACAACCTCGTCACTTCAAAGAATGATATTGCTTACTTGACAGACCTGTATAAATTAATACCACGTAGTAACGGCTACATCCATCAATTTACTGTATAAATTATTTAATGATGTCAATCTCCAACTTCAATGTGACGACTTGAAATTGATTAAAACAAAAATGCCATTGCTTCTTTTGTAGCCAAATTGCTCTTATATAAGAATAATATCGGCAGACGTGAATTTCGCAATTTCCCTAATTTGTCAGCAGTATCCTTCAACAACGACGACTTGCTTGTTTACTGCCAACATTTGGAGAACCTCCACAGTGATTTCGCAGAACGATTCCAGGACACTTTAAAACTGGAAATACCGGACTGGGTGTTGGATCCTTTTTCTTGGCCCACTTTTATTTATTATATACCTAAATGATATTTATTATGTTCCTGGGCTACATGAACTTAATCTGTTTGCAGACGATACATTAGTTTATACTTCGAATACAGACCTCAATGATGCTGTAGATACTCTCAAAGGTTCTATGAAGAACATCGAAAAATATTTACATATGAATAAATTGAATTTAACAATTTACCAAATGCCATTAGAGAGGAAAATACTGTAAGAGGGTTTAAAAGTGAATTATTGGAATACCTAGAGCGTTAGTTAGTTGGAAAATATGTATATTATATGTATGTTACTATATCAATATTGGTTTTCAACATTGGGTCTTATAAATTGTATATTTTTTATTATTATCTTTTTATTTAGTTTATCTTCATTATTGTTATTATCTATATACAAATTTGAATTTTATTAATATTTTTGGCACTGTGGAAATTTAAATGTTAATTAGTTATTATGTCTTGTAAGATTAGGATGTATCCTATAACAAAGATTACTACTACTACTAATGTCAACACAGCAGGAACACCCCGGCTGGAAGAAGAACTCATAGAACTGATAACGAACGAGGAAATAAAATTGAATAATGGATACCAAGAATTTTGGTTACAAAAGCCAATCCCGCAATTGTACCCTGGATTGTGGTCCATCGTTTTTGATAGCATTCCCATTATCGTATTTGTGTGAACGTGAATTTATTGCTCTGGCAACGTTGCTAACTAAAAAGAGAAATCTCGAAAACGGTTCAAAATAGAAATAGTATTATCTGAATAAAGTTAATCTAAAATTGGATGTAGAGCTTAAAAATGTTGAAATATACAGGGTGTTCCTTTTGAAAAAATTGAGTTCCACTCATTTTTTCATGAGATCAAAGTATCTGCATTTTTTGAAGACCCTGTATGAGGCAAATGAAAATATGACTCGGAGTGAAGATCCTCATAGTATCACTCCACTCCATTTCAAATTTGATCGTTTTATTGCAAGAGAGTTCAAGATTATCAGCATTTATAAAAGTTCATGTTTGGTAAAAAAATATCGAAATTAATTTATATCTTCTAAACGGTAATAAATAGGTATAGGGAAATAGTATATGAATTTGTTGACAAAGTGATAATGAATCATAATATGATATTATATACGGGGTGTTCCATTTGAAAAATCAAAGAAGCCGCTACTTTATAGTAGAAGCGACAACGCCGCTTCGTCTAAAATATTTTAGGCGTGTAGGTCATATTGACTTATGCATACTGTGGAATTTTCAGGTTGATCCGTTGAATAGTTTGCCAGAAACGGCTAATTAACGCTCATCATGAAAAGCCCTGTATACATTTTCATTTGAAATAAAACTACTGAAAAAAATGAAAATGAAATCTACTGCCACGTAATTGAGGGAGATACGAGTATAAGATAAACATTCTCAGCCTTATGTCCAATACATTAATGTTTAACTCTGTTCAGGTGCCAAAATTTTTCCTTGCAGTTGGACATCACAGATGGACAGAATTTGACTCGTCACTTCTTTAGACTTGATGCTTCAAAATCTGTCTTTTGAGATTCATATGATACATGAAATGAATCAATGCCGTATTTTTTTGAATGTGAAGTTCTTAAGGATTTCTTTTGTATGTTTTCAATTACCTCAGATTGGGTCGTGGTTTGTAGGATCCACACGACACTGGCATATTCTAATTTTCATTAAATTGAGTCTTGTGCAGACCACAGTAGAAGCTCATTAATATTGCAAGATCATATCTCAGCAAGATCATATTTCAGCTTGTTCATATCTGTTTCAAAAGCGTATTTTGCAAAAATTCTCAAGTCGGCGGCATATAATAGAAAGTTAGTGTGACTAATATAATCAGATATATCATTAGAACAGTAGCGGGCCCAAAATTGATCCTTGTGTCACACTTGATTTGTTCACGAAAGGTTATGAATAGTTATTGTTGGATAGAACAAAATTCATCTTGAAATGCAAAGGATTTTAGCATTTGCAAAAATACATGACGGTTAACTTAGTGAAATGTTTTAGTCAAGTCTGTGGCAAGTAGTTCATAAAATGGACAAGATTATGACAGTGGTTCTGCTTTTATGCAAATCGTCAAATCAAACATAATCAAAATATGCTTTATTGTCCAAGATAAAATCTTATTGACAAAGCTGATTATGTAAAATGAACACTATAAATAAATATAAACATCGTCATATATAAATAAATATTTGCAAACACAAAACAAAAATACACACATCGGAAAAGTCTAGGGATATTTTTAAAAATGGCAATAATTTTTTTTTAGATCGCTTTAGGGAAAAAAAGTTGACAGGTGATTATTAAACGAATGTAACTTACAACAAAATTTATTAAATGGTCAAAAATACTGAGTGCGCATATAAGCAAAACTAAAAAAAAATATGGCTCTTCTTTGGCACCCCGAAAAAAAATCATAATACAAAAAAAATTGGAATCAGTACAAAGTATGGCCTCCACGCTGGTTTATTACGGCCCTACATTTATTGTGCATCGACAAAATGAGATTGTCAATGTCTTGTTGAGGTACATTTGCCCATTCAGCGATTAAAAGCTCTCTCAATTGAAACGTTGTGTGAATGTTCCCCATATGCGGAGTAATTCTTCGTTGAAGCATGTCCCACACATGCTCGATGGGATTCAGGTCCGGTGATTGTGCTGGCCATGGCAATACATCAACTCCTTCGTTGGTGAGCCAGTCAGTCACTATCGTGCATTAGGTGGAAGTTTTCACCAACAGCACCAGCAAACGGACGGACGATAGGTAGAAGAATGGTGTCGAGGTACTGTCAAGCTATGAGGGAGCGATTTGGAATAACGAGATCGGTTCTGTCGCCGATCATGATTCCGTCCCATAGCATTACTGTATCACCTCTGTATGTGTGGACTTCCTGGACGTGTCTCAAACGTTCATTATTTCCAGGTCGTCTCCACAGTCTTACTCGACGAGAATCTGGATGAAATCCAAATCTGGATTCGTCTGTAAACAAAACTGTGGCCCAACCATTTGCATCCCAGTTTTGATGTTCTTGACACCACTCTAATCTTCTACCGCGATTGCCTCTCGACAAAGGTGGACATCTAAGTGGCCTTCTGTTGTGGAGATCTGCTTCATGCAGTCGATTTCTGACAGTATCACGACCAATGGTTACCTGGTGCGTCTGCTGCAACACGTTAACCAACTCAGGTGCTGTGATTGTCGGTTGTCTTCTTGCGGTTAAGACCAAAAATCGGTCTTGAACTGCAGTTGTAGCGCGTCCTCGCCCTGGATGTTGTTCGGCTGGACTGCCAGTTTCACGGAAACGCCGCCACAATCGACTGATAACACTTTGGGAGACCCCCAAAGTGTGTCGCATGCCACCTTGAAAAAGCCCTACAGCTCTATTCATCTCAGCCAATGGTAAGTGATGGCGTTCCATGTTAAAGCACAATATTTCCAGTTTAATTGCTGAGCAAGAACTGCATAGAATGTACAAACTCGACACTTTCAGATTATTCATTTTAGCCGAAAACCTACAGTTTGTAAAAAACTTGATAAAAACGGTAACTACCGTTTTTGCAGGCTTTGTTCAACCCATAGAAATCTACAGGGTGGTCGAGTGTACCAATTTAATCGAAATTAAACGACCTCATGCATTTATTTTTATGATATTTAGTATGTTATAAAAATATCCCTAGACTTTTCCGATGTGTGTATATACAAATAGGGGTCACAATGTGAAATCCCTGTAATATTCCTCAAGGTCATAATAGGCCTTTCCTTGCAGTAATTATTGAAGAATTTCTGAAAATTTTGAGATCCTTGATTCCTTTCAGGAATTAGGTAAATGACTGTATATTTTTTTACCCTCATAAAATATAAAATACTCTGCTATTGGGGATTTTGGTACTGGCAAAAGTAAATTATTTTTGCTTGGTGCGTTTGGTACATTTCATTACAGTATGTTTCAGGAGTATGCCTTTTATATTATAATAACAGTTTCCAGGATGCATATACAATCAGCAATCGAGGCACCAAATTTTTTGTAATCAGCATAACATTCTGATAATATATTTTTAGTTATATTCTCAATGTGATGTTCAAATTTCAATTTGATGTCTATAACCAGGCCAAGGAATTTGTTGTGAGATTTAATAATAATAATAATCAATATCTTTATTTCTAAAGAATATTCGCAAAAAGATAAAAAAAACAGAATTAACGTCACCAACAAGATAGAATATGTCAGACAGTATGGTTGAGGTATTCAGCAATAGTATTGGGTTCTATATTCAGTAGCATCTTATGAATTCCCTTCTTGAATTCACCAAGTTTATTCAATTGTTTGATGCTGGTGGGGAGTTTGTTGAACATTTTCATGCTTTGATAGGAACAGGCTCCTTTCTGTAACAGTCTATGTTTTGGGTACACATAGTAAAAATTTCTAGTGTTGTATACATTTTGTGGTAGACTATTTTCAAAAATATGTTTGTTTCTAAAAAGGAATAACAAGAGTTCCTGTATATAGACCCCTATAAGTGTTAGTATTTTAAGGCTACTGAATTTGCTTCAACATGATTTTCTTGAGTTTAGTTTCATCATAGTTCTTAAGGCTCTTTTTTGTACAGTGAAAATTTGTCCTGCATTTCTACTGATTCACTGTTTCTCTAATGAGAGATCATTGTAGGTGACTTTGAAGGTGAGGATTACGGTCTTTGTCGCACTTAGAAAAAATAAATTTTAATTATACCACATAGAATTTTCTTCAAGTCTTCCGATATGAGTTTCTTTAAACTCTCTGTTTCTGAAGCATGCCAGAGAAGGATTGTATCATCAGCAAACATCATTTGACCAAGAACTGATCTTTGTGGTAAACCAGCTGCGGAAATAGAGATATCAGATTTACTATCGATTGCTTGTTTCTGACATTTCGCTTGCTTTTGACAAAATTTCAGAATTTTTTTGAATTATTATCAATATCATATTCAGTTTGGCTGACATATCTTAATTGTTTAGTCTCTTTTCTTAGTTCAATAAATGGTTGCTTGTATCTTGTTATTTATAATTTTTTTAATACTGATTTTTGAGTTTGAATCAATCAATCAATCAAATATACTTTATTGTCTGAAGAACTACATCTTGTAGACAAAGTCATAAATAATATGTAAGATACAAACATCTACATAAAAAAAACACAATTTAAACAAAATACAATAAACATAAGCTAAAAATGTGAAATACACTGAGATATTCAGCTGGAAATAACAAGACATAGAAATAAAAGTTAAGATTCAAGTGAATCGTCAAGATACTCCTGAACTGAATAATAGGCCCTATCAACAAGTAGCATTTTAACTGCTTTTTTGAATTTGTTAAGCACTTTTTAGTCAACCAGGGTTTTCTATTTTTATTTTGATTTTTTGTAGAGGAAATGATTTATTAAAATTTTCTAATAACCCATTGTAAAATGCCTCAAAAGGGTGAGAATTGTCTAAGAAGGAAGCCCAGTTTGTTTGCTCACAACGTTGATAAAACCTATTATAGTTCCGCTTGCTGAATAAACGACTCCTTTTCTCACATTTACTGGCAGTTTTGGAATATTCTGAACTAGTTCATTACTGTAAGTAGGATATTTTTTTGCATAGGTCTCTTTCAGTGACCACTGTTCCAAAATGTCATATACTCGTATAATAAATAAAACTGGTCTACAGCCCAGTTGGGATTGTTTATATTATAGAAGTTCCCCAATTGCATTCATTCACCATTCGGTACAGTGATGGTCAACATCCTTTTTTGAAATTTCAATTGCGATAGTTACAATTTTTTGTTCATTTTGATATTAGAAACTGATATGGTGATATTCTGTGATTTTGTTGGTCCTAGATGTGATGCTTTGACAACCTGGTGATGAATACTAGTTACATTCCAGAAGATGGTCCACAGGTAGGATTCTAGAGCTGCACATTCCGACATGGATTGGTACAGATCACCTGAGCCATGGAAAAGCGTCTTCCTGAACCATTGCGGGCTACAGCGGGAGGTACAGTAGACGCACTCACTTTTGAACTACCTACCTACAATTGGTTGGCATACTGGAATATCACAAAAAGGTGTCGATACATGCCCAATTTGTACCTGTCTGTTGATATCCGAAAAGTAACCACGGTCTGTTATATTGAAACGCTTAGGGATGGCTTAGAGACCTATCCTCTACGAATGTATTGTAAACTCAATCAAGATACTAGTATAAGAATTCTTGATAATTTATTAAAACGTAAAATGGCCTACCTCTGATCTACTCGTTCTGACGTAGTTGTAAGGATCGGCAGGCAGATGCTGATCCCTCTTATTGGCACAGATTGGGGAAGTAGTGGCCGAGTTGGGTCCGGATCTTCCGCCAGATTTGTGACCCAGGTCCGACTCGTTGGGACTGTTCGGCACCGAATTATGCTGCTGATGCCTAAGGTGGTGAGCGTGACTGTTGTGATACCTCAAGTTGTCCATCTGAAATGATTGATAATAGCAATTATGTTTATTCATCATTTTGTATATACAGGATGTATCGCTGATAGTTGCTTAGTTGCTGTTCAATTCGAGACAGGAATATACAGTGTGCCCAAGATAAGGATCCTAAGCATGGGAATCTCAGTACCTGTTGGAGATACAGCTTAGGTTAAATTAGGAAAAAGTTGTGTTCTTTAAAGCTTATTTACATGCCGTTTAGAAACTTGAAGAATTTTCATGGCCTGCTGAGATATTTGGGAAAAACGAGAATTTGACAATATCAATTTTATTTTTTTCTGACTTTATTTGAAAAGATATNACAATTACTATTTTATCGTGTAATTAAATAATATTTGACAGGCTCGGTGACAGGTATTTACGTCAAAGCATTTGTTTGCAACGCCTACTTAAAGATTTTTTAAAAATAGAAAAAATGTAATTTTCCTTTAAACTAAAAAGAAAACATTGGCATGTGATACATCGTTGAATTCGTAATAAAAAATGGAATCAGATACAGGGTGTACTTTTGTTTCGGGTCATATAAAAAAATAAAGTTGATGATGGTTTCTTGAAAACGAAACGTCGGATATAAAATCTAAAAATACCATCGTGTAGTACCTTAAAAGTGCCAATGAAAAAGTGGATAATCTTAGCGACTGGAGAAATGTACAGCAAAATGGATTAACGGGGTCTCAGTAAAAAAATCAAAAATCAAATCTCTGTTCTACTTTGCCAAGCTTTCGCTTCTAATGGGAAGCTTCTTCAAGGCCTATAATTTATTGAGTTGTTGGTTTTTTTGCCATCGAAAAACATTACAATTCATACTTACAGTAAAAATGAGTTAAAAACAATAAATTGAACATATAAACTGACGGAGAAGGTTGAACATGTATAAGATTTTTTGGTTTTGACAAATGTCATACCTTCACATAAATGTCATTTTTCAATGGATATGATGATTTCATAATCTTTGACTTTAAGAAAGAGTTATTGATTGATACAATTTTCATTATTATCATGTTTTTGATGTAGTTCCAGTAAGTTACTGTATATATTGCAATGTCAGTTCTCTTATTCATACAAACAGAAGACTTATTAATTTCAACCATTTCAAGAAAAAGGCGTTTAGAAATATTTTTTTCTGTATGTAAAACTTTGATACCAGAGTAATTTGGTTTATGTCGTTTCTATAGAATGTTGTGCTGATGCGCATGATTTTTTATTAAGCTTTATATCACTTTTATGTGAAGTTATTCTATCATTAAGAATTCTAAATGTTCCAATATAATCCAAGTTACAGTTGTTACAAGGAATGTTATAAATCACATTTGACTTTTTAATGGTATCAGTTTTATCTTTCAATTTAGTATTCAAATTCTTTATAGTTTTAATATTTTTTTGGCATATTTTTATATTTTGTTTATTATGAAATAGTTTTATGATATTGTGAAGATACATTTCCAAGGTTAGGTATAGATTTATAAGAAAAATTGATAGGTAAACTATCATTAAATACATTTCTGTTGAATACATTGGAATTTGTATTATTGCCAGCATTAAAAATTATTTTATTGAGAAGTTTTCTGGGATAAGAATTTTCGATCAATATGTCTCTAAGAAGTCTGAGATTTTTTTGCTTGAGGGAAGGGTGTACTAATTTTTCTATTCTTTCTTTCAAACAAAGTATTAAATTGATTTTAACTGATTTTTTATGAAAAGAATAATAATTAATATATCTACTTGAATTAGCAGGTTTGACATACCAATCTGTAATCAAGGAATTATCAGTTTTATGGATAACTCTTGTATCAAGAAATGGAAGGGTCTGATTATTTTCTATTTCGATAGTGAACTGTAAATTTTTATCATATCTATTTAAAACATCAAGAATTTCAATAGATTTGTCAAAAGGTATTGCACAAATGACATCGTCAACGTATTTCTTTAAAAAGGGAATTTCAAAACTCAGTTTGGGAAGTATGTTTTCAAAAAGATCGTCCATTACGTATTGAGCTATAATAGGAGAAATAGTAGCTCCCATCGGTGTACCTAGAATTTGTTTATAGAATTTACCTTCGAAGGAGAAATAACTTGAGTTGAAGATGAACTTAATTATTTCAATAAATTTTTTTTGGTTTAACTTTTCTCCACTAGATTCATAGGTATATTGCTGAAAAGTGAAATCACATCAAGGCTGATCAGAATATAACTAGGAGGTAATGATTTTTCAATTTACAAAATTGGAAAAGTCGAAAGAATCCTTAATATAGAATTCATTTTCATAATTATAAGCATCAGTGAGAATTTTTGTGACCATTTGAGCAATTTTGCTATTTGGAGCATCAATGGAAGAAATAATGGGTCTCAGTTTCAAATTAGGTTTATGTATTTTAGGGAGTCCATAATATTTGGGTGATATAGAATTATAAATCAT